TGGCCTTCCTGACGAACAGTCTGTGACTAGCCTATCTTTCCATTGAAAGAAATCTCTCCCTCCTTCTCTCATCTTTGTAAAATTTCTTTCTTTCTTTCTCCTTCCTTCCTTCCTTCCTTCCTTCCTTCCTTCCTTCCTTCCTTCCTTCCCTCCCTTCCTTCTTTCCATTCTTCCCACACATTCATATTTTCCTAAGATCTCTGCTGTATATTTAAATTTATATAATGTTTTCCCCCAGAAATCCTATGTGTTTGCAGCAGAAAGGCCTTTCCACTCATTCTGCCTTTTGCAAGGATGTTACTATACTCAGTTGGCATGTTTCTCAACTTTGGCGTGGCTGAAATTTGGGGTTGGATCACTCTCTGCTATGGAGAGAGGGCCATCTTATGCATTTTGGGATGCTCAGCAGCAACCTGGCCTTCACTCCTCGATGCCACTACCCTCCGTCAGCTATGTCACTAAATATGCCTGCAGTTCCACCCAGGGATGCAGACTCACCCTGGAGAACCACGGTACTGAGACCACGGCAGGGGCAACCATGTGCTGCATGAATGAAGCAGGCCGCCTGTGCTGGAATGGAGTCCACTTCCTGCACGGTGACTCCCAGGATTAAGTAGCTGCCCTGTCACAGGTGCTTACCTAGTACATGTTCAGTACATGTCCTCCAGCGACTGGCACATGTCATACTTGGGTGCAAGAATCCATGTGCAGAAAGGATGTTTCCAGAGAATGAGCTTCCCTTAGTTTTTGACATGTTTGCCTTCTGCTTATGAGCAGGGGTTTCTAGTTTCCAGGAATAGGGACTGAGAAATAAAAGTAAAATGCATTTTCAAATGCCTCCTTCCACCCTAAGTCCTATGAGAAAATTCTCCCACTTGTAAAGAGAACTTTGTGGAGTGACTGTCTTGGTTGTGCTATTAGGTTTCTTCCCGCTTCGTCCACGTTGCAGCCTTGTCCACACCATGCAGCAGGGTCATGCTCTGGGACCTCAGAGAGCATCTGTCCAGCTGTCCACCTGCACAGAAGAGGCACAGAGCACAAGGTGGAGCAGAGCCTTCGGCCAGGGCTCCGGCTCCCGGGTGGGGGCCCCTCCTCACCTCAGGCCAACGAGAGCCAGAGCTCACTGTCCGTAGACGGGCTTCCCTCCTTTGTAGGCTGGCATTTTACATCTGCAACCAGGGAAAGGCATCTGCTGATGCACCAGATGCATCAAAACCAAGGACAGGATAAGCAGGAAATGGTGCAGGATGAATAAATATGTTCAAACTAAAATTAAGGAAACAAAGGTGAGTAACAGAAAACAGCTCCAAAGCCAATTATTATCTCTACTGTGTGTCTGTGGATGTGTCTCTGTCTCTCACCGCTCTGATCAGGAAGGGGATAGTGGAGACCCTCCCTGAGGTCAATCAGCCCAAGCCCCTCAGGTCAAAGGTCAGAGTCAGGGAGGTGCCCGACTTCCTAACCCCTCTCATTTCCAGGGAAGCTGTGTTTAAGGCAAATAGACGATGGGAGCCAGGAGCTGGGGTGACAGTCACGGTGGGCGGGGGAACGATGGGTGCGTTCACCCTGTGGGTGGAGGTCGCAGCTGCGAAGGGGATTTCATACGCTCCCCCCACCATGGTGACCCTGCCCTGTCCCCATCCTCCCTTCCCACCCACACCGAGTCATGTCCTGGCACCGTCTGTCCTGGGAGCGCTTGTGGGCGAGCCCATGGGGGGGCCAGAATTCAGACACCCGCCTGTGTTCCTCAGGCCTCGGCATAGAAGACACAAGGGTGTCCTCCTCCTGTCAGTTGCTGACCTGGGGCCAGGGAGAAAGCAGCTCTGAGTGTCTGTCTTCAAGAACAAACATCCCTGCGGCAGGGGAAGCTGGACGGGACACAGTGAAGGACTGGACCCCTGGGTCGGGTGGCCACTGGGCCTCTTGGCCTGGCGGTGACCACACGGGTGTCCCAGGTCATCCTACGGGCTATGCCTCCAGTAGCCAGGAGCGGCTCCAGTGGCTGACAGCTGTGTGCAAGGCCACGCCAGGACCTGACCCACGGCAGTTACAAAAACCAGTTCTGTGAAGCCAGATGTGTGATGTTTTCAGAAAAACATGTGTGAGTGGTGATCATTGCACTCCTGGTGAGCTCAGGCATGAACGGGTCCTGGTGTCCCATACACTTGTCTCCCCTGCTTTCTTCGGCGCCCGGGGCCTCATTGGAACTTCCAAAGCAGGGTTTTGAAACTCATGGTGCAAGAAGGTCTCAGAGGTGGGCTGTTTTGGAGACAGAGCCTGGGAAAGCAGGGGCTGGGGCCCAGCTCGCTCAGGACGGGACAGGGTGGAAGGGCATGGGGACCACCAGGACGGGCGCTGCCCCAGAGCTGGGGGGTGGGCAGCATCGCATCACTCACTTTCCCGGTTCACAGGATAAGGTGGAGGCCAGTTTTGATGGAATGGATACAGGACGCAGGGCCTGCGGTCCAGGAGCACAGAGAGGCCATCCCCCAGCCTGGTCTTCAGGATCCACCCCCGCTAGGTTCCAGGTCCACGAATGCAAATGTTTTGCTGGATATTTTCATTTTTACACCAAAATAACAAAATGGTAGCAAAATGGTTTACCCTCCAAAATAAGGTTCCCATGTTGAGTCAAAGACAGTGATGAGGTTAGAAACTCCTGCATGGCCTTCCACGTCCATCAACAACGAGGAGCCCGCGTGCAAGCAGAAGGTGCCCCGGGGTGTGCTTCGCACCCAGCACCCCGCAGGCTCTGTCCTGCCTTAGGGTCGGGGCGGGAGCTTCTGAAGACCCAGCGGGTTCTGAAAGGCCCACTGTGCTCCAGCCAGGAAACAGATCTGTGTAGACACGGTGCCGGGAAGGCAGGCACGCCTGGTTTCCCTTTCAAACCACTTCAAAGTGGAGGCGAGAACTGGTTTCCTCTGGGGGAGGCAGTACAGGACATCAAGTGGTCATGCCACCCGCATCCCTGAAGCAAATGCACCCTGGCCCTAAGCACGTCCTTCCAGTCCTGGCCTCCTTGTGGAGGCAGGAGTGGGTGTGAGCAGACCAGCAGCTGCCAGAGCTGAGGAAGGAAACAGGAGGAGACAGATGCACCCTGGCCCCCCAGGCCTCCTGACCTCCCAAACCCAGGGACCCACGCCCCCCACCCCAGAGAACCCAGCTGCTCGGCCCAGAGCTCTCAACCTTCTTTCTCCCCAGAGGACACAAAGGTGCCAGTACTGCCTGAGGGGGAAGTGGACAGTGAGCCTGAGCCCAGGGCACTGAAATTCCACCCCGTGAAAGCCTGCTGTGTGAGGGCGCACAGCCTCTCTGCAGCTGGAGGACCAGAGCGTCATGGAAACATGGCCCTGTCCACCTGTCGCTGCTCAGCTGGGGTGGGATGGCCTGGCAGGGGCCGTGGGGCCCATTTTCAGGCTGGGGGAACACTCCAAGTGCTCTGACTGGCCTCGGGGGGACATCACAGGGAACAGAAGTTGATCCTTTTCCACCTCCGGAGCTGCCTGGACCATGCTTGGGACGCAATCCCATTGCTGATGCAGCTTGTTTTTATTCTCTGTGGCACCTGCCCCTTGCAGCGTGGACACCATCTGCCTCTATAAAAATACAACATGTCTCACGTGCGATGGATCCAACTCTCAGGATGTTCTCTCATTCCACGGAAAACCCAGCAGACTGATTCACAGGCTTAGTTAGCATTTCTACATATGGCAGGAGAGGCGTTGGATCTCTGGGACTTTGTCCATAGATCCTGTACTCTCCCTTCCAGTGGGCTGAGACCTCGGGTCCCCGTGAGGAAGGCTCCCTCCTGTTCAGTCTCAGGGCCCCGGGGGGCAGGTTCTGTGATGAACATCCATCCCTTTTCTGGTCATCTCACATCGTCCCCCCCACACCCTGGGGACTCCGCTGCAGGGGGTGGTCTTTATGGACGGTGCCATCCTCTGCGATGAGGACAGAGAGGCTGGACACATCACTGGGCACATGGCTGCTCACATGGGCCTTTCTGGGATGTGGGCCTCGCCAGGACGTGGCCTCCAGCAAGTGACCAAACACCGGGCGCGGTCGGGACAAGAGGCTTTCTGCTCCATCACCTCTGATTAGCGGGTCTTACAAAGAGAAAGAAACGGAGCAAGATGACAATCAGCACACACTTCACCCAAAGTCATGACGTATCAGGAATCTAAATGAATGGTGTAGAGACTAGTGAAATGTCCCACAGATGCCCCGTGTAATGACACGTTAACAGGTTTGGCCTTTGTGTGACATGGGATGCTCAGGCCGACAGTTCGGTTATTACAGAGTTGACTCAGCTAGGATGGCAAAGGCGACCCAAGCAAATGCAAGAAGTAACAGTAAAACAGAGATTCACCTGTGAAAATCTAGCAGTAAGTAGATAGAAGCTCCATTTCTTTCCATGGCTCCTACTCATTTTTTTGTTTTTTTTTCACGATAGTCATATATATATAGAGAGAGAGGCAGAGACACAGGCAGAGGGAGAAGCAGGCTCCATGCACCGGGAGCCTGACGTGGGATTCGATCCCGGGTCTCCAGGATCGCCCCCTGGGCCAAAGGCAGGCGCCAAACCGCTGCGCCACCCAGGGATCCCCCTACTCGGGGTTTTAAAAGCAAAGTCATGCCCCAACTGCATGGCCTTACAAAATCAGGGGCTCACATATTGTGACAAAAAGGCTTTAAAAAAATCTCACTGAGGTTCTCAGCTGCAAGCACCGTCAGCAAAGGAGAGTCTGCTATTTGTTGTGTAAGCACCGTGTGGGAGGGGGCTCCAGCTCAGGGCCCCCAGACCTAGTGCACAGCCCGTTTGCAGACCCTGCCCAGTTTAGACTCTTGCAGGGATTAAGCTCTCTAAAGTTAAACAGTCGATTAAGCAGGGTCGGGTTTAGTCCATCATATACGTTAAAGATTAAACCAGACCTTTCAGGTCAAACATTGTGCAGTGGAGCTGTCAGCCACGCAGTGGGGAGCTCATTCCAGGCTTCCAGCAGGGCCCCCACATGCTGCTGGCCACCTTGTCTGCTCTGAGAAGAGGGAAGGGAGGAGGCCCGCTCCTTCAGCCTGAATGTCAGGGAGTCCCTGACACCATGCAGTGGCACCTACAGGGGAGCCAGGTTAGGGGGCTTTGGATGTGGGAATGTCCTTGTACTCTGCGGGGCACTCGGCCATCAGAGCTGGGGGGCGTGGGTGAGGCAGGCTGACCTGCTGTGGGCCTGGACAGGACTCCCTCACCCACCTGGGGGGCTGGGGGCCACCAAGAGCTGAGAAGGCTCCTGGAGAGCCATGCTGCTCTCTGCTGCAGTGGGAAATCACCACCCAAAGTGCCGGCTGAGCTGAGAAGCCTCCCTGCTGCCCAGCACCAGGGAGCAGAGCCAAGACCATCCACAGGGATAGTGACCCGATGGTCCTGCTTTCTTCTCTCTTGGGACTCGCAGAGCCAATTGGATGAAAATTAAATCCCAGAGAGTGAGTTCTGTGCTGAAGGACGCCCAGAAGGGGGGAAGGCCAGCATTGGGGCCCCCCCAGGCCAGGCTCTGAGTGTAGCAGCCCACCCTTCCCAGGGCTGCGGCCCCCACTGCATCATGATGCCCCACCTAACCAGAGCTGAGGCCTGGGACAGGGCCAGGGCACAGCAGTAGCTGAGGGTCTGCCCCACCCCCCCCTGGCCCCGCTGCATGTCCACCCTGCCGCCCCTCCTCTGGTGCAACAAAGAAGAAAACTTTCACTCTTACTTTTCTGGGTGGGAGAAGAGGAAGCAACCTAGATTATAAAGTGTACAGGGACCAATCCATTGGAAGAGCAGCAGTGGGACTTCCTTATTCCAGAACCAAGGTGGGGGCTTCCCCAGCCCAGGCCTAGGACCCTGGGGTGTCAGCCCAGAGCAGCTCAGCAGGGCACAGCACCTCGAATGCAGCTCCAGCCTTACCTTTGATGGCTGCAAAACCCAGACCCAGTGAGCATTCAGCATTCGTTCAGACAAAAGAGGGTGGATATGGTTAAATAGTTTGTGAGGAAGGTGAGAACACTTAGAGCAAACGCCGTGTGAATCACATACGGCGTTCAGTGGTTGCATGCAGGCCCCCGGAGAAAGGAGTTGTAATTGCAAAAATGTCTGAATTGTTATTATATAAATAAGGGATTTCCAGGAACTGTCTTCTTCCTCTTCAGAAGCTGCACGGGCTTGCTAATTTGACAGAAAAGCCTTGTCAGGAGGCTTATTGCACACTTCTTCATGGGTCGCGGCTTTTCCAGAAATTCAACATGAAATTTCTCATCGCCGCATTCCATCTGGAGTGTAATAAATACCACTTCTCACCTAACACACTAAGGGCAGGTAAGTTAAGTTTTGTGCATAGAGAGGGTTTCATAATAAATGTGACATTTTCGCAGTGGAAAGGGCTGACGGCCCGGGGCCGCACACGCCCCACACGGATCTCCAGGCTCCGCCCCCGCCACTGAGCAGGTGGTGTCCCCGCCACAAAGAGCCTGTGTCTCAGCAAGAATCGTGAGGCGATCCTTTGTAGTGGGGGGCCCCTTATCAGCCCAGCGGGGGACCAGGGAACGGAGGGGAACGGGGATGAATGAGCTGGTGTCTGCGCTTTCACCCCGAAGCGAGGAAGAACCTTCCCCTGAATGCCAAGCGAGACAACCGGCTCGCTGCAGCAAGAGGTCCAGCGGCCTCCCTGGGACAGCAGAGGGGTGCCCCCGCTGAGAATGGGGCCCTGGAGGGCAACTCCCACCCACTGCCCCAGTGCTGACTCTCTTTCCTTCTGACTCCCTAAGACAGAGGTGGTGACTGCAGCCAATGGGAGGAGTGGAGGAAGGGCAGGGCTTGGGTCGCTCAAGCTCACAGGAAAGCCCCAGCGGGCCCTCCTGGTGTCACCCCTGCCCCCCCTTCCCCCGCCGGCCCCATGCCCAGTCTCCCATCCATCCTCTTGCTTGCCGTTCCACCCGGCCTTGGGTCAGGGTGTCCCCAAGCCGAGTATCCTCATGGACAGAGGGCAGCTTGGGCATCAGGCCCCCACGCCCCAGCCCCAGCCCTGGTCACATCCCCTTCTGCCAGAGCTCCGGTCCCGGGCCCTCCCATCAGCTGAAATCCCCTTGGCCTGTGGCCCCATACCTAGGCCGCCACTGTGACCGGCTTTTAACTGCTAGACCCTCCAGTGGGTGTGCTCTCAGTTTGGTTTCAATGTGCATTTCCCTAATGATTAATCGAGGTGCCTTTTCATATCTTTATTGGCCATCTGGCTACTTTACGATGGGAGAGCCCAGAGGATTTCCCGAGGGTGGGCTATGTCCTGCGTTTTCTCGGGTCTGCACCGTGGTCCATGGGGGAGCTAGCAGATGCACGTGTGCCGCTCCCACACATAGGGACCAGTGGCTCCCAGGCTGGGCCATGGCCACCAACCTGCTGCCCTCCTCTCATGGCTCCTGAAGCCTGTGGGGTCTAGCATGTCAGGGAGTGAGGATCCTTCCAGAGTCTCAACTAATGGGAACTCTCTGCCTGTGAAATAAAGGGACTTGGAGAAGCAACAGAGCACAGAACACATTTTTCTTAAAGTGCAGGGAGGCTGTGAGTGTTTAGCAGAGGAGAAAAACGTGAGCCCTCGACCTCCACCGTTGTCACCCAAGGACAGTCACAGAGCTCGGGGCCCTTGCCTGGCTCGGATAAGCCCTCGAGGGAGGCGCCCCGGGGAGAAGAGCTCCGGCCTTCCTGCCCAGTCACCTTCCAGATGCTTCCTGTCCCACAGCATTTGGGTAAACGTAGCAATCCCTGCCCCTATCTGACCTACCAGGGCCCAGGGCAGCTGGGAGGGCACATGGTAACCGGGAGAACCCAGACAAAACCCCAGCCTGTTTCACCATGTGGGTGCTTTCCCATTCACCAGAGTGGGAGCTTCTAGATGTTGTCCACAGACAAGCCCTCAGGTCAGTCCCGTCTATGAAGTGCAAATGAGAGGCTTCTAGGCTTAAGATTCTTAGGGCAATAGTCTGATCCCCCCACCCCGTGTGTCCCCAAACCATGGACAGATCCCGATAATACGCAGAAAAGCAAAACAAGCTACCCCAAAGTTGTCAGACTCCTCTGGCAAGGCTGGGATGTGCGTCTGGACAGCCTGTCCCTCCTGGGTCCCTCCCCACCACCCCCAGCGACTTCAAACCCTCACCTTCCTTCCCCAGCATCCTGGGCGGGCGGGGGTGCATGTTTGCATTCCCTGTGCGCTGAGAACCAAGAAGATGCTTCCAGTCATTCGTGGCAAGAGATCCTTCCGCCAAACCCCAGAGAGTTCAGGGTGCTGGGGTCCCCATGCCTGCGGGGTCTTCAGGAGACCCACACCACCACCCCGGGAATCCGGACGACTCAGTTGAACCAAAAGGAATGTTGGGGAAGATGTTTTAATCGTAAATTGTCTTGTTTTTTCACGTTAGCAGTTTCGAGAGCCCTACGTCTCTTCCTAACAAAGAGGATTTGACTTCTCTGTGATGATACTTACCCACCAGGATCGGATAAAGAGTCAAGGAAAGGTTATTTCATCACTCAGTGGATAGTCTGCAAGTTCATAATCGCCAACCTCAGGGACTTCAGGAGTGACACAAACACACAGCATCTGGACAATAGAAACGTGTTCCTGTCCTTGGAGCTGGTCTCAGAGGACCCGTCGTCCTGTCCAGACGATGGAGGATTCTGGATCCCTCAGAGTCCATCCACAGAAGAGAGAAGCATGTTTCTAGAGCTGAGAAGGGGGATTAGGAGTCCACTGGGAAGTTCTAGCTTTCTGAGACTAAACAAATATGAGTTTTGGAGCAAGAGATTCAAATAAATGAGAGTTTATATATCAGGTTTTGTTTTCAATGATGGCAGAGGCCCCCGAATGACACAGTGGCTCAGAGAGAGGAGACTTTGCTCTGTGGAGACCATGTTCCCCTAAAACATAAGCACTGGGATCGTGGCACCCTTCAAGCAGCTTCATCCCAGGGGCGATCTCACCTCACGTGGGGCATTCCCTGTGGTCAGGGGTCCTGGAGGCCCCGGGGCTCTTCACACGGGGCTGGGAGACCCAGAGCTGCCGCCTGCAGCCTCACCTGGCTCCCCGTTGTGTGCAACGAGAGATGGACCTTCACGGGGCCCGAAGCCTGGGATGGTGAGCACCAAAGACAGGAGTGCAGGGTGCAGACGACACGGGCACAACTCAGCATTAGCGACAGGCACCTGCGTTGCATGGGAAGCTGCGAGCGCTCAGCCTAGGGGCTATTTCTTTCTCCTGCGTCTGCCGTCCAGCCCTGTGTGTACCTGAAACACCTTACAGTATAAGGAAACGGATGACCCACACCATGCACGATAATTTGCTCAAGACATTTCTTAAGAGGCCTTTATTTTTACCTTACACCTCACGGGACACACTTGGGGGTTGCACGGAAACGCGGGTTACATGCACGTGCTGGGCATTACACGTGCTTCGTGTTTGAAATACCTTGTGTTGTGTGTGCTTTGCTCGCCCCTGAGGACTCTTGGGAGGAGCTAATAAGCCTGCACTTACAAACACAGGGAAGTGTCATCAGGGCTACAAGGTGTTAGTAAGTGTCAGCGGTAGGAGAGGAATTGCCCCCCACCTGTGACCATCGGTGCATGAGCCCACGTGGCCTGCAGAACAGTGGTGCTCACAGGGTGGGCATGGCTGCTCTGGGCCCGGGGTTGATTTTTAAGATGTGTGTGAACTCCAACAGACTCCCGAGGAATAAGTAAAATCTTCTTGAGTGTAATCATCCCTCGGGGAGGAAGTAATGTGCCCTGGGAGAGAGGTCACTGAAGGTCGAGAGGAATCAGGGAATAGCCCTTCACGGGCCTGCAAATGTTTGCTCTAAACAAATATTTTAAAAGTCAAAGATCCTGAAAGCACCATATGCCTCCCTCCAGGGACCAATTAGCCTTTTTCTCCTACAGTTTGTTCAGCAGGATGCTGGGTCCAGGCTGCATCAGGGCGGGAAACGGGAGCTGCTGAGCTGGGCCTCGCGACCGAGCACGTGTGGTTGCACTCACCGCTTCCCCAGCGCGGGGTTCCTTGACCAAGACAGAAAAGGAGAGTTTTAAAAAGGATGCTTGATTTTCTGAAGGTGAGATTTTTTTGAGTTGAGATCAGACTCACGATTGTAGGGTGATGTGAGTAAATTCACCCTTAACTTTTATGTTAGAAGACATTAACTCCGTGTTTGAAATACCTTGTGCCGTGAGGGTGCAGCCGCTCCAAAGTGCCCCCAAGCCCCCCGCCACCACGCCTCCCCCTGCACCTCTCGGGGGCTGTGGGGTGACTCCCCCCAACCCCAGCCTCCCCTGCAGACATCCCGGGTGTGGCACTGGGTGGCAGCAACTTCACCGTGGCCCCAAGGCCCATCCCGGCCATGGTCCAGATGCTCAGGGCGGGCAGGGAGAGAGCACACCCCTCGCCCATCACCTGGGCCGTTCCAGACAAGAGAACCTGCTCCCCCAGTGATGTGACACTACCATGTGCCGACCCGCCACGTTCACACTTCCCGGCAGAGCTCCTCAGACCCCGGAAGGAAAAGTAGTCACTTTATTCAAAAGTTTTCCCTCTTTTCGGAGTTTTACTATCTGTAAACTAGAGCCATATGCCCTTCCTAGTAGAGACCTAAATGTGTTTTTATAAACGTCCCTAAGAACATGGACTGACTTAGTATTTTTTATTATAAGTAGAAACAATGAAATGAGATTTCTTGTGAAGGACAGTCAGTTTTGCATGACACGTAAGAAGATGAAATGGGCCATATCTACGTGGGTGGAAAACAGATGATCGTTACAGATGGGGGCATGGGTGCATGGGCAGGGAAGCCACCCTGAGCTTGAGGCCACTTGTAGCAATTTTCAGCCGTGCTGTGCGGGTGGAGATAAGGCACAGAGTCCTGGGTAACCGGCTGCACTGGCACCTGCTCCTGCTGACACCCCGTTTCCTCAGGCTCCGGCTCGCCCCAGCACATGCTCAGGGGACAGGTGACATGCCTGGGCCCCCTTGCTGATGGGTCTTCCAGGCTGGGGGTGTTTGGGGGTGCTGGAGCTGCAGAGCCGTCTAGCTGGAGTGGGGGAGACGCTGGCAAGGGCTGGGTTGGCTCTGCACTGGTCCCAAGAGCCAGGTCCTGCCGTCTGTGTAGCCTGTTGGAGTGAAGGCCCATCCAAAGTGGAGGGGAAGGAGAGAGGCTGTCAGGCCGGGTGATGGACACCTACCTCGGTGGTGGTGAAAAACTAGGACAGAAGCACCAGCCCCACAGGCATGGGGCAGGGAACAGAGGCCGCTCCCCTGCTCGGTGGCATGCTCCCCACTTTCTGCTCCCATATCCCCTCACCCGTAACTGCATTGGCGGCCCCCTCTGCACAAGACCTAACACCTGCTCCACCCACTGACAGCTGTCCTGTGCTTCTCAGGGCAAAGTTCTGGAGAGAACCTGCTTGGTCCAGTGAGCATTGGGCCAAGGTGAGTGATGAGCAGTTTGGTCCAAGGGACATCACTCGACCTAAGCAGAATTAGTGGGCAAACAGCATCAATGCTATTTGACGTGGCTGTTCAGGGCAAGAAATTCTGGAGAAAGTATTAGAGGGAAATCGAAATATCAGACAAAATAGGGGCATCAGCAAGAGGTTATTAACTGTTAATCTTGTTTAGAATAGAGGAGTAATTTTAAATGTGTCAAATTATTGTAAAATAGAGTCCCAACCTGGTGAGATTGGGTGAGAATTCAACGGTCTGAGCCAACCCCCCATGACCCCCCAAGACAGGGGCCACAGCAGACGTGCATCAGCCCCAGGGATGGGGGGATGGGGAGCCTCACCCTCTTGGACAGCCCAGCGGGCTGCACTCCACTACCTGCAGCCTGCCTGCAGGAACGGAAGGGCTTTCAATATTCCTGCTGGTTGTACATTTCGGACGTTTTAGATGAAATCACTTTTTTTTTTTAATCACCAATACTGAAAGTCAATAAAGTACCAGGATGGAATTGTGATGGGTAATTCTGCATCAACCTGAATGAGCCAAAGGATGCCCGGATGGCCAGTTAAAGATCGGGTGTCTTTGTAAGGATGTTTCTGGAAGAGATTAGCCCTGGCACGAGTCGACTGAGTAAGGAAGAGGGTCGGCATCCATGTCCATGGACCTCATCCAAACCTGGGCGGGCCTGAATAGTGCAAAAGGCAGAGGAGGGGCAAACTCTCTGCTGGAGCTGAGGCGTCCACTTCTACAGCAGTGCTCTGACTCTCTGGCCTCCTGACTCAGATCAGGACTTACACTATGTACCCCTCCTACCCTCCGTTCTCAGGCCCCGGGGTCTCAGACTCAACCTCACCACTGGCAGAGGGCAGATGATGGCACTTCTCCGTCTGAACAACCGTGAGCCAGGTTCTACAGTAAATCTCTTACGTATCCGTACATACATTTTCCTTGGAAAATATAAGAGCTCCACGTTGCCCATAAACCTGTAACATGTGAGCATACAGATAACCATGTGTTAGCCCAAAGAACACTTTGGGAGGAGATATAATTCGATGACTTTACATATGACTTTAAAAATGTCATTGTCTCCTATCGCTTCTGCTCTGGGTTTTCCCTGGGTCTGTAACAAAATCCACTCTTCTTCCAGCAGAAAAGCAGTTCCAGAGTGCAGAAAGGAGGTTTGCAGCCTCAGCCCTGCAGGGGGCTGGTCACTGTCTCGGGACAGCATGCAGCTGACAGCTTGTGTAGCTGGGACGCCGGTGCTGGAGCATGTGAGCTTGCAAAGGAGACCCTGCATGGTGAAGCCTTTCACTTAATACGTACGTCAACAACTTCTTCCCATAAAACGTTGACTTTTGATCCGACCATTTAAAAATTGGGCTCCTGGTATGTTAGAAATAAAGCTATAACGATTCTTAAGTTGGATGAGAGGAGACAAATAAAATCAGAAAAGGTCTTTTTTTTTTTTTTTTTTTTTTTTTTTGCAGCACTGCCAATTTGGGCATCTGCGTTCAAGAATATTTATTGGCAGCAGTTTCAGTCCTTTATGATGGTTCAGAGCAATCAGGTATCCCAGGAGCTAAAGGAGGCGGACATTTCTTTCAACAAAAGGTCTTTTGCCAGGAGCAGGCCCAGCCCCCGCGGCTTTCCCAGGGGTGACTCCGCGGCTGCTCGGGTCAGGAACTTCTGAGCGAAGCCCGTGTCCCGGGTAAGCTGTTGGGCTGAGGTCAGAGGCCCAGGAGGAGGCGGGCTGTGCAGCCGGATCCGGGCGGGTGAAGACCTGCCTTGCTCAGTGCTCAAGAGTCCTGAGTGTCCAGTCCACCCAGGTCTGGGCCCTGGGACCAGGAGGACAGAAAGGGCAGATCCTCCAGTTCCTGCTGTGTCTGGAACTCTTGAGCAAATCGGAGACTCGCTCCGTGGATGCTCGCCAGCGCCCTGCATCGGGCAAACAGATCTACCATTTTATTACCCTTCTGCGCTGAACTTGGAAACCCCCAAACTACATGTTGCCATGTTCTGGCCATAAAACAGAGAGGTACTTGTTTCTGGACTCACACATGTTTTGCCTCTAAAAGAGTCTGTGTTTTCATCCTGCCCAAGGGCCAAAGGGACGAGCTTCTCTGGGATCAGGGTGCAGCTGCGGCAGGCAGGGCCCCTCTCTGTCCACCAGCTGCTCACCTGCCGGCCTCCCTCCCCGCGGGGGCGCCGGAAGACACTCAGGAGTGTTTATTGAATGAAACTATGACCTATTAGAGGCTTTAAAGCAGCCAAGCACTGCCAAGTACTGGTTGAGGTTCCTTCCCTCAACGGCCAAGACTGGGATCCAGCCCAGGGGGCTTCCTAACCTCTGTTCCTAAGTGTTCCTCACTCATAAGTCCAGTGCTCATCCTGAGAAAGCCCCTGAGCCATACAGAGCTTATGGCTGTGTTATTAGGTGGGTGGGGCGGGTCCTGGGAGGAAATAAGCCCAACTCCCTCAGTGTTGGGGGACACCAGGCACCTGACTTACCCTGCCCGGGCAGGTGCCCCTCTTGGGCACATGTCCTCCAGGAGCCGGGATGCACAGCTTTGCTCTCCTCTCACCCCACTTGGTGAGCTTTACAAACAAGGGCACTGC